TATGGTGTGGATAACAAGAATTGTATGGTATAAGTAATAAAGGCTATACAATAATTTTTATCGGGGATGATGCTGAAACAAGATGATGCTAAAATGTGGGGTCTCGATTTAGAAATATAAGCCCTACTAAAATCCACCTATACTTTTTTATTATAAACACTAACCCTAAACCCTAATCTAACTACAAAAAAAAAAGCTAAAAAAGACAACCCCCAAAAATTTTAAAATTTCATATTAAAAATAAGTCAATGTTTCAGCATCATCCCGACAAGTTTTATCCTAATAATATATAAACCGGATCAATATGGTACGGAATTTAAAATAGTTTACATATTTTTATACCTATACCATGCTAACCTAATCACCCATGCCATACTAATCTACGTAATTTAGTACTGAATATGTATTTGCTTCCCATTAAACAATTTCGGCTGCATGTACGTTATGACAACTGTTAAAGATAATGGTGCGATCAGTTTAAATTCAGATAATTTGGATTACACATGATTCAAATATTTATCCATATGACTTAGACTGTTGAATGGATCGAATAGATTGAATAGTTGGAATGGATAAATACTACAGCATCAGATCACGAGGGATTAGTAATAATACATTATTAAAGATTGAAAAATTAAACAAAAAAATAATGTCGAGCTAATCGAGAATAATCCAAGTTTGTATTTTTTTTTGATTGACTATTCGCTTTTATTACTCGCAAAATAAGTTGATAATGCTTACTATAGCCTTAACTTACCAAAATCAATAGGATTATAATCCCAAGATTTTCATCAGTACCTTTATAACTACAAGGTTGATTGCTTATCGCATGAATTCCAAAATGAATCTTCCACTAGTTCCACGAAATTAAACTCGAGTTTTCAGGATCGGTTGGTAGCAAAGTTTTTAGTAATTCCACATTTTTCATAACACAGTTTCATCTTGATTGATAAATGAGGCTAGAAAATTTTTGATGCAAAAAGAAGTCTCATCAGCGAATTAGAAAAACTCTGTTAAGAACTTACATAGTATGTGGTTAAATTTTTCTGATATGGTCTCTCACCAGACATCTAAAAATAATGGATAGGGAATCAGGTTTTCAGGATCGAATGGTAGACCGGTGGTTCGAGCAATTACCGTTCAATAATATGGTTCCAAATTTTCATTTATTCCATTTGTAAATCATCTCGACTGATAAATGAAACTAAAGCCTATTCTTGAAGCAAGGAAAAATCTTATTAGCGAATAAAACTTCAATGAAATAGAAGATCATGAATTACTGTAAATACTTTCTGTTACAAAACTTACATGAAATAGTAATACAAAGTGTGTGGTTAAAAGTTATGTAGTGTTTGTATGATAACACTAAAAAAAGTTACAGAGTTTACTGACTTTTGTGATGCACACGACAATTCACCAGCAACGACAAAATTGCTCCACAATCAAAGCCAAGGTGCCAGCAGCGACGACAACAGGCCACTAATGAAGCTACGGTGCCAACAAGAGAAAAAACTCATTACAACTAAAGCAACAGAGACCAACTATCTGGCGATGCTCTACCATAAGATTATAATGTATACGAGAAAAAAGTAAATGATCGACAATATTACGATTAATCATATGTCGATTGCATTTTAGCTATTAAAATTTAGGGATCGACAACCGGATAGATAAATAGCCAGAATCAGGGTAATATCAAAATTCAAAAAACATTAATGGCGAATCTTGTATATTGTTTTCATGAAGAATTTTTTCTTTCCACTGCCTCTGATTTATATTTCGTTGTCTAAATATATTATTTTCAGTATGTTGTTTTTTTTTATTTATTTATTCTTTAGTATATTGTTTTTTTACTTATTTATTCGTTTTAGTTGAAAAATGAAAAACGGAAACAACGTATCGCCAAGGTAAGTAATTCATGTATTATTTTTAAAGTTTAATTTAAATATAAATAAGTTGACGTATCTATTTTTTCTATAATTCTTAATTCAATAACAAAACCGAATGGACCTTCTTCTTGGATTATTTGAAATACTGCGATATAAACTAAATTTTAAGACAGAAATTCATCGAATGTAGTGATATTTAAATTGTCTTAAAAATATCGTGAATAATGAGCCTGAGAAGAAAGTGTTAAGAGCGATAAAAGTAAGATTGTGCATTACAGCACATTTGATTATGTAATTTTATTATTTTGTTTGACATTTCTTATACGGATAACTTTTAACCATGTCTTCATGGGAAGATAAGATAGATGTTATCTATTTAACTTTACAATAAGAAATGATAAAAATAATAATAATAAATGATGCACTTATAGACTAATCAAACCTTAATGTTTCTATAAACTATCAAGATAATTTGAAAACAGTTTTGGAAGCAACTCCCAAAGGCAAAAACAGTCTAAAGAAATCGGAACTAATTTTTATATGTTGTAAGTTTTATTCTTTATTATTATTAAAATTTAAATTAGTAAATATGTCTATTTACTATGCAATTTATATATAGCCAAAAAAGAGGTTTACAAACCTAATAATTCTCTGATCTGATTGCATGAGTAAAATTATGCAACTTTCAAGGTTCGCATAGGAGGTTTCTTCATACAGAAAACTATCCCAACTTGAGTTAATATTTGGGATCTGTATGAAGAGAATTGACGAACTAGAACTTTGTAAGTAATATATTTAAGTAATATATTTAAATAATTTATAGTTTGTTTTAATTTATTTTATTAAATACTTCTAATAGCTTCTACGGAAGATATAAAACATTTTGATAAGGTGATAAACTTTTTTGTGCAGCAAGTCAAGATTTGATTTCTTGGTTTTAATCTAGAACTAGCTTTGAGTAAATATATTTTTTTTCTCCTATGCTATTGCAATTGAGATCGTCATTAAATGCTATTTATTAAGCTATGCTTTGAGTAAATTTAGTTGGGTTGCATATATAGTGTATATAAATTCTAATATAACTTTCTTTTTTAAATACGATTTTAGATCAATTAGGCTCTATTGATGGCTGCAACGAAACAGAGAGATTTGTTACTTTATGTGGTGCTATATCTACTTTAGGCAAGATAAAGAATGGAATATTGCATAGAGAATGGTTCTTGTCTGGAATTAATAATAAAGGCAAACTTGACTATACCATTAAGAAAGATGAGAATATTTTTTGCACAATAGAAGCGAAGATGACAAATATTGAACAAGGATTTTGCCAAAACCTTGTTCAATTGCAGTGTGCGTGCGAGGTAAATATTTATTTGTTGAATGTAATCAATTAAAATCTGTAAGAATTTCAATTTTTATTGTATATGACTTTAAAAAATAATTGATATTATATAATTGAAGCATATATAATGAAATTCTTATAGGTGCTAATGTTGCAAATTAACAACACCATTTACTATACATATTATTATTATTTTCTATTTTTATATATTATATAGAACAATAAAAAAAGAAAGTATGATTGTTTGGAGTATGTTTATAGTGTTGTTACCACTGCTGCACTGGTGATGCGGTGTTGTAAATAGTCATATAGCTAATGGCATGAAAGATGTTGGGTAGGCTAATAAAAAGAGGAAACGTATAGTATACATATGTGTATAAATAATTATTTTAAAAAAAGCATATAATATACATATATTTATATAAAAAATTTTAAATCTAGTTTGTATACTATTTATATAGTTATGTAAATTTTTTATCAATCGAAAAATGATTAAAAAAACAGGTTAAACCATTTTTTCACCTGTTTAAAACATGTGATTATTAAAGTCCGAATGCTGATTTAAATAATACTCACCTGTTTTTTAATTTATCTTCACCTGTTTATAATTACGTAATAAAAAAACATTTACCATCTCTACCAAGAACATCTCAAAAAATCATCCAAATCAGATTTCGAGATCGGGTGTAATGTGAAATAAAAACAATAAAAACAATCGAATAAACGAAAAATTTAAAATAATAAAACCTCAACACTAGGGTTAGCTTTAGAGTGAGGTTAGGGCATATTATATACCAAAATTTGACGAGGAATTTGTTTATTAGAACACAAAAGACAGCTTCATAGGCAAGATTTTGAGCTACAAACGATTTTTCAAAAAGTGCATAATTTCACACCTGATCTTGAAAGCTAATGTGCGCAGAATTTTTAGAGGTGTTCTTGGGTAGTTGTAAAAATGACTTGTCCACGTGAAATCCGATATTAATTAGCTTACGTATAATGATACAAAATTGAATTATGTCAATTATACTAGAAAAACGGCGACGTTTTGTGGACTGGAGCTCTAGTTATTAGGTCTTATATTTGGAATTAAATTTAAAATAATACAGTATTTAAATTTTATAAATTGCTATATATATTACTTATAAGATTACATCTATATTAAATTTATAATAAAAGCTTATATTATTCTTGTGTAAATGCATATTTGCCATAATATTTGTATTCTGTCAAAAAAAAAAAACCATTAAAAAAGACGTTAGCAAATGTGCAAATCCTTGGTATATCTACAAATATAATATCTTTATTTTAAGATTTATTGCAGTATCTAAACTTATAATTGTAGTTGCCCAAGCAAAACTTACATGCGAGAGCAAATTCTTTATTCTTCTTTCCAAATGAAATCTATTTAATAGATTGTATTTGTTATATTTGGTATGATCCGTATAATTATTTATTTTAATCAAAATTTCATGGATAATT